TGTATGGGAATAGTATCTGAGGTTGTGTAATCAGTTAAATTAGATAGTGGATCTGGAACATAGCCAACTCTTTCAGATTGAATTTCTTCATCACTTATCTTTTGCTCCATTGTTAACATAATAGATTCTGGTATGTCGTCTTCAGGTAGTTGAGCAATATTCTGAAGATTTATCTCAATATTCTGATAGAGAATATTATATTTCTTCAACCATTGCAAAGCCTGAATAATTTTTTTCTTTCGCACTGTTAAAATTTTTCTAAGATGAATACGTTGAGGAGGAAGAGAGCCAACAAAAATGACTTTTATCGTATCACATAGATCATCAAGTTTAAGTGGTAGACTGTTGACAATGTCCGGTACATTTTGCAGAAAAGTAATACAGTTGCCTTTTAAAGCTGTTTATGAAGTTGTAGCTGAATGGAAAGGTGATTGAAGTTTTATTATACAACTATTGTGACGATAAAGTGATATTAGCTTTTCTTCTGGAATTGTTAAGCCTTGTAATTCAGCAGGAATGTCGCCAAACCACATGCCATTGGCAACAGAAAATTTAGGAATGTGTTTTTTCGATAAACCATCATGACATTTTTAACAGAGTGTGCACATATTCTTCTTGTTCTGTTGAAATAAGCCACTAGTATATAAAATAATATTGTTTTCACAATAAAATGATGGTGACTTGGAAGCTGAAATAAGGAAAGCTTATTGAAGAAATATTCAATTACAAATAAATGTATATTACTTTGAGCATCATCAGTCGTTTGTATACCATCAGTATTAACAGTAGTTACGGTGCCTTCATTTATGTACTGTAAATTCGATAACTGGGAGCCCATGATCAGAGCTTTAGTTTCGTCTGAAACTTTGAGTAATTCATTGCTAGTAATTTTTGAGACAGGTACTGATTTCGACTTTTGCATCGGACTTCGAATGTTGCAAACTGCACAAGTAGTTTCGGCTAGTGCTGACATGGACATTCGCTGGAGAAATTTTTTGAGACATCCTTCTTTCAAATCAAGAGAAATTGGTTCAGGCCAAGAAGAAGTCGAATTTCTAATTTTCGGTAAGATATTTGAATTTGATATAGAATAAGATATATTAATACCATCTTGTAATGTGACTTCTTCCGTCCCAGCAGATTGCATTTGAGTAGTTTGTTGTTGAATACTAATATTATCGGACATGCGTTTTTCATTTTTCTTTTTTTCTCTGTTTGCTTGACTTCGTTTTCTTTGCTGTTCGAGTCGATTAAGACGGTGTTCTTCTGTTTGATTCTTTCGACTAGTTTGACTGCGGTGCCTCTCTCCCCTCAGTCGATTTTGGCGCTCTTCTTCGGTTGCGTTCAGTCGACTAGATT